ATGCTCTCCACCAACCGGATCAAATTTGCTTCTCTCTCTTTCTTTCTTTGTTCTTCTGGTCGTTCGTACTCATCCTCGCCGTTTCGTAGTTTGTTTTATTCTTCAGCACTTTAACCACATGACACTGGAAATCATCCAAACGCCTCTATGGGTTTGATTCGATGCCCATAGGTTTGATGGAAATGATAAACGCATTATCAAAGTTACACTCCACCCCAATTCAGTCAAAAAGGTGTTCTGTGTCAGAATGCTAATACAGTACAACACATTAACCGTGAGACTGATAGAGTGTGTGTGTGTGTGTGTGTGTGTGTGTGTGTGTGTGTGTGTGTGTGTGTGTGTGTGTGTGTGTGTGTGTGTGTGACACCTATAATACCTATGGCCCTTACTGGGCTTTACTCTAATACTCTCAAGCTGTTCTGATAGAGAGACCTCAGTCCTACTCAACTTCAAGGGGAAGGCCTATTGATTATCGATTGAGTCTCTCACACACACACACACACACACACACATACACACATACACACACACACACCTCCACATGCATACACGTAGAACTTCCAAGGCTCAGACTCAATCAATCAGTCTTGAATTGAATTGTCTTACGTTTTCTGCCACGGGAACTGAGTTCATAGTTAAATAGCGAGCCTTGATGGACGGCCTCTCTTCAGACTTGGCGGGCGTCCAGAAGCCTCCTGGCTTTTTTTTCTTTTTGGCCCATCCACTTACAGTAAAGATCAACTCGGCCATTTACTTCCCTGACACCACAATATTTCCTCACTGATATTGGTTTACGGGCGTACAAATCATGAAGCGCATTAAAACACACGACAGAAGGAGTTTGTCACTCGGCACTTAACCGTTTCCTCCGGTCGCTCTCATGGCTCGTTTGACGCCATTGGTGCAACGTGTTTGTTTATGTTAGGACATGTGATGTTGTGTTCTGCAAGCAACGTCACATGTCCCAAGAGTCTCACATAGCCTCCCTTTTACTGCACTTGGGCTCAGGTTGCAGTCCTGACCCGAAGAAACATATTCTTTCTGAAATCTGGAATTAAGTGAAAGGAAGCTATGTGAGACAAACCTGAACCAGTTCATTCAGTGTTTCCAACATCAGGATTATACCAACGTAATCCTAGCCTTCATCTAAAACGCCCATTTCTACCGAAGAACCGAACAGCGTGTTTCACTGAAAAAGAAAGAAAGAAGTTTGGCTGGGCATTCTGCCGGGACATGCCTGCCGGTATGCACTGAGTGAATGTCTATTGGTGTAGATAATGACACAATATGATGATGATGCTTCTTAATGTCCATGAAACCAAACGGTCAGGCAACTGATCGCTTTTCCCTCCACTGGTTTCATGTTTGACTTGCACTCCAAGGTTTCTGTTAGAGCTGTGATTGTCCTCACTGATGAACTGTACTTGTTTGAATCAAGACTATTGTTGCCATGTGCTGATAGACCATTGAGATTATGTTTAAGATCAATTCAATGTAAAAATGCCGTTAGAGGGTGCAGTAAGAACCCTTTATGATCGTCCATGTTTTCACTGTGCTCTGTAATTCTGACGCTGCTGTTGTTCCTTGGTGGACCTCTAGGGGGAGCAGTAAGGGCAAAGATATCAGTACGATAAAGTCCCTCCGTGTGCTGAGGGTGCTGCGTCCTCTGAAGACCATCAAGCGACTCCCCAAATTAAAGGTAGGGGTCAGAAGGTCTGACGATGCATCTCATTTCAATGGCAGCTAATATGGAACAGTGTATCTCTGTGAAAACATTGTATAATATATCTAATTAGCCTCAAATGAATCTACAGCACGGAACATAGACCTTGGTGCTTGATTTCTGGGTGATTTATGACGTCCGATCAGTGTTGCCGTGCCTGTGCAGTTACACTGGTTACTCAGCCTTCAAACACAGCTCACATGTGTTCATCAATTCCTCCACCTCCGCCCTGTAGGCTGTGTTTGACTGCGTTGTCAACTCTCTGAAGAACGTGCTGAACATCTTGATCGTCTACATGCTCTTCATGTTCATCTTCGCCGTGGTGGCCGTGCAGCTCTTCAAAGGCCGATTCTTCTTCTGCACGGACGAATCCAAAGAGTTTGAGCGGGACTGCAGGTCAGAAACACAACACTCAAACTCTTGTTATTAAACATAATTGCTTCAAAGGATTTTTAAAAGTAAACTGCTTAATATTTCAGTATTTTCCTATTTGGAGCATCTGGGGGGTATATTACGAAGCAGGATTTTCGCTTAGCGGCTAACTTCAGGGAAAACTCGGGGTTTCCGGTCCTACGAAGCTGGTTCTCTTTTTAGCAGGCTAGATCTCCATGGTAACTTATGCTGTGCGGCTAACCTGCCCCGGAGCAGGTTAGGTTGCAGGCTAAGAGATCAACTCAGTGAAAGCACTGCCTGCTGACCAATCAGAGCTCAGTGTGCGGAGCTTAAAGCGATCAAGTCATATTACAGGAGAAAGGAAATACAGAAAAGCTGCCGTTGCAGGAAAGACGGCCGGCAAAAATCACCGACTGTGAACGTGAACATTAATAGAATATCACCTCCCATCTTCAGAGCAATCTGACTATTATAACATTAGCGTTAAGAAAGCTTACTTAAATATCTGCCACAACATAAATAACCGGATCAGAGTAACATTAAGTAGGCCTACAGTCCGCGGCATATCACATCATAATGTATCATATATCTCCTTATCTGAGTCAGCTGAGCCGTATCTGGCCGTGCAACACTCACAGTGTCACATACTGTGTGCAGAAGTATTATTTTAAGCAACACATTAAGTTGACGAAACACTCGA